TCCCATGGATCAAGTAGTAATTTTGATTTCATTTGTGAAATAAATTTAAGAAATATTATTTAAAAAATAAATTTCCATATAAAAATATTTATTTAAGAAATAAATTTCAGAAGGCTATAGCTGTCATGGACAGTGATTCTTTTAACGGATCTGGGGAAAGTAAACTGGAAACCTCCCAGAAAGCTTTCACCACTCTAGACGCCATTAAGAATATTTGTAATTCATGGGAGGAGATCAAAAGATCAACATTAACAGGAATTTTGAAGAGGTTGATTCCAACCTTCATGGATGATAGGAAGTAGCTGCAGATGTAATGGAAATAGCAAGAAAATTAGAAGGGGTGCACAAAGAGATGACTGAATTGCTGCAATATCATGATAAAAATTGATGAGTTAGGGTCCTTTGTAGGGACATGGATGAACCTGGAAACCATCATTCTCAGCAAACTGACAGAACAGCAGAAAATCAAACACCGCATGTTCTCACTCATAGGTGGGCGTTGAACAATGAGAACACATGGACACAGGGAGGGGAGCACTACACACTGGGGTCAGTTGGGGGGAATAGGGGAGGGACGATGGGGGGTGGGGAGTTGGGGAGCAATAGCAAGGGGAGAGATGCCAGATGTAGGTGATGGGGAGGAAGGCAGCAAATCACACTGCCACGTGTGTACCTATGCAACAATCTTGCATGTTCTTCACATGTACCCCAAAACCTAAAATACAATAAAATAAATTGGAAAAAAAAATAAAAATAAAAAATAAAAATTGAACACACGAGGAGTTCCTTCTTAAGAACGAACAAAGTGGTTTCTTGAGATGGAATATATTCTTGGTGAAGATGAGTATTGTTGAAATGACAACAAAGGATTGAGAAAGTTGACAAAGCAGTGGCAGGGTTTGAGAGGACTGACTCCAATTTTGAAATAAGTTCTACTGTGGGTAAAATGCTATTAAACAGCATCATGTGCTACAGAGACATCTTCTATGAAAGGAAGAGTCAACCGATGCAGCAAACTGCATTGCTGTTTTCTTTCATAATAAATTGCCACGGCTACCCCAGCCCTCAGCAATCACCACACTCATCAGTCAACAGCCATCAACACTAAGATAAGACCCTCCGCCAGCAAAAAGATTACAACTCTCTGGAGGCTCAGATGATCATGAGCATTTCTTAGTAACAAAGCATCTTTAAATTAAGGTATGTATGTATTGTTTTTTAAGACACAATGCTATTGCACACTTGCTAGACTATAGTATAGTGTAAACATGACTATTATATATACTGGGAAACCAAAAAAATTGCATGACTCCCTTCAGTGTGATACTCACTTTTTTGCAGTGGTATGGAGTTGAACTTGCAGTATTTTTGAGACATGCTTGTATTTGAATTATTTCTCAAAATGCTTTAAAACATAATGATCTGATGGCACTGTAAAATCCTCATTAAAAAAAATTCAAATATTTTCCAATATATTGCATCACCACAGGGAAGTGATCTAATAATTTTAAAACATTTTCAGTCATTATGTCATAAGTATTTTGGTGTTGCCTTGTAAAAAAACTTTACTAATTCAGAAAAATGGAATTTTCTATTCTTTAAAATTTTTCCCGCTTTTACTAAAAAATTAAATCATTCCTTTATTTTTCTTTATCCTTCTGTTAAATACTCAGATTAAGTTTTACTGAAACATAACTACCACGAAATTCATCAGTTTCAATTAGAGAGTTAGAAGTCTTTACGTATACAGCTGTGTGTGTAATCATCACAGTCCAGTTTGGGAAAACTTCTACCACTCTAAAAAGTTATCTGTGCTCAGCTGGGTGCAGTGACTCATGCCTGTAATCCCAACACTTTGGGAGGCTGACGGGGGAAGACTGGTTGAGCCCAGAAGTTTGAGACTAGCCTGACAACATAGCAAGGCCCCACCTCTTAAAAAAAAAAAAAAGTTTTTAATTTAAAAGGTTCCCTGTGCCCATCTGCAGTCAATCCCTGCTGCTACCTCCAGACCCAGGCCACCACTGTTTGCTTTTGTCTTGAAAGTTTTCTGCTTTTTAGAAATTTCAAACAAACAGAATCATTCAATATATAGTTTTATGTATCTGACCTCTTTCAGTTAACATGTTTCTAAAGGCATCCATTTGGTTGACTATAAGTAGTTTGCTCTTTTTAAATTGCTCAGTAGTATTCCATCATATGAATGTACCACGTGTTTATTCATCTATCAGTTGATAAGGACTTGAGCTGTTTATAGTTTTTAGCTATTATGAATAATTTTGCTGTAAACATTCACATGAGTCAGATACGTGTATTTGTTTCTATTGGGTATATTCTTAGGAATAAATTTGATAAGTCATAAAGATACATGTTTGGCTTTTTAAGAAATTACAAACTTTCCCAAAGTGGCTATACAATTTTGTATTCCAAGCAGCAATGTATGAGGTTTCTAATTTCTTCACATCTCACCAACACTTAAGACAATCCCTTTTTTATTTTGGCTAATTTAGAAAATTCATTAGTGGTATATCATTGTGGCTTCAATATCTAATGACAGTGAACAACGCTTCATGTACTTGTTTGCCATCCATACATCTTTAGTGAAATCTGTTCAAATCTTCTGCCCTTTTAAAAAACAGTGGTTTTGGTATCTATGAGTTGCAAGTATTCTGCATATTCTGGATTCAATCCTTAATCATGTATGTTTTGCAAATACTTTCTCCAAATATTTGGCTTGGTTTTCTCATTTTCTCAATAGCATCTTTTGAAGGTAAAGGTTATAAATTCTGATGTTCATTTTAATCAGTTTTTTTTTTTTTTTTTTTTGAGTTTTGCTCTGTCGCCCAGGCTGGTGTGCAGTGGCACAATCTTGGCTCACTGCAACCTCCACCTCCAGGGTTCAAGCAATTCTCCTGCCTCAGCCTTCAGAGTAGCTGGGACTATAGGCATACACCAACATGCCCGTCTAATTTTTGTATTTTTTGCAGAGACGGGGTTTCACTATGTTGGCCAGGCTGGTCTCAAACTCATGGCCTCAGGTTATCTGCCTGCCTCGGCCTCCCAAAGTACTGGGATTTCAGACATGAGCCACCACACCCGGCCCATTTTATGAACTTTTGTTAGCAGATCACACTTTTGGTGTTACATCTAAGAAATCCTTGCCTAATCCAAGGTCATGAATATTTACCCTTAGGTTCTCCTCTAAGAGATTTATAGTTTTAGTTCTTATATCTAGGTCACTGTCTCTGTATTTTAAGGAATTTTACAGCTTTACATTTTACTTTAAATAATCTGTTTTTGTGTATAGTGTGAAGGGTCTAGGTGTCATTTTTTTGAAAAGATGTATATCCAATTGTTTCTGCACCATTTGTTGAAAATACTACCCTTTTCCCCAATGTATTACCTTGGCATCTTTGTCAAAAATCAATTTACCATATATATCTGAGTTCATTTCTTGACCCTATTGTACCCTATCGATCTATTAATATTTGACTATAACACAGTTTCATAATAAGTTCTGAAGTCAGGTACTTTAAGTCCCTATGTTCTTTCTCAAAATTGTTTTTAACTCTTTTGGTCCTTTAAATTTCTGCATATATTGTAGAATTAGCTTCTCAATTTCTATTAAAAAAAAAAGGTACTGAGATTTACACAGAGATTCAATATACAGGTTACTAATTTGGGTTTTCCAATCCATAAAAATTGTATATGTTTCCATATATTTGGGTCATCTTTCTGAAATGCTTTGTACTTTTCAGTATACAGAAATACTCACTTATTTTAATAAAACACCAATGATAAACTTCTTATTTAAGGCACTAAATTGAGAATAAAATATAATAGCAAACATGATTTAAAAATTTTCCAGACACAGTTTTAAGTTTACCATATCTCATATCCAAAAACAAGACAAACAATGAACAAATAATAAAGATCTATTATCTCATAAAGTCTGAGGGTTATATGAGCAGGAAAAAAGTTAACTCCTATTTCAAAGATACTTGCCTTGAATGAAATCTCCACACAAGTTTTTGGTAAAGAAACTAAATACTCAGTTTGATTTTCCTACCTGAACGCCCAACAAATCCAAGAAAGTTCCACAAACTAGAGTCATATTCACAAAGAAAATACATTTTTGTAAAGAAAATGTAGTACTGGAAACACAATGAAACATGCCATCTCTAGTTTTTTCCATCTCAATTTTTACAGCATAATTTTTGTCTCCAGTTTTAAGTGTATAAGCCTTCACTGAACAAAATCTGTCAAATAAAATGGAACTGAAGTTCTATCAAAGGTTCAAGTCATGAAAAATTACTTTTGAATTAAAAATTACGAACATTAACAAAGGCTTTTTCTCTTTCAAAATAAAAACATTTTGCACATTCATAGCAGGAGTCACACACAGTAGAGTTCATAATTACACTATCTATAATAGCAAAAAATAGGAATTATCTAAATGCCCATTGACAAAAGAGTAGATGGTATAAATTACGGTATATTCACATTATTGTACTATAGTGAAAATGAACTATAGCTATACAAAATAATATGTTGAATATTATAAACATAAAGTTGCAGGGAGTGAGGGGAAACAAAACAAATCCCAAAAGACAATAAGCAGTATGATTCCAAGAAAAACTAAATATATTGTTTGGGCACCAATACATTCAGAATAGATTTAAAGAGCCAAAGGAATAACAAATACAAAATTCCAAAGAGTAGTTTCTGGAGAAAGGAAAGGGCATAAGAAGGCAGGAAAACGGAGGTGAGGAACATATAAGTAAACAAATACCAGTTATTATTAATGTTTTAGTTCTTGGGTAGAGTAGAAGGTTCATATGTTTCATAACCTATATGTACATTATCTAATTCTTTTATATCACATTCTGTTAAAATATTTTTTAAAACACAAGCAAAAACTATTTTGAAACAATTACCCATCATAAACCAGAAGTTGAACAGTAAACTCAAAATATACTTCACATTTTTTAAAAAGTTCTTACCTTTGTTTCTGTTCAACTGCTTTGTCCAAGTGCTGAAAGATATCCTGAAACAAGGTGCAGCTGGATCGACTGTTAATAGTATACCCATATCCTCTTTTCCAATATTGTTTCAGATCATTTAAATATTCTAATACCTAAAAAAGTAAAAAATCAATTCTAATATATTTTAATCAATATAACACATTCCCTGATTTAATGATTCTCTAAGAAAAGGTTACAGTGTTTAATTACCATTCTGCACAATAATATAGCATTTGTCCTTTCCAGCATTTAAGAGTTGATCCCAAAGGTTCAAATCACAGAGAGATTTATGCTGCATCATAAATTTGGATTGGAGGAATGTAGAGGCTGGTGTGCAAGAGCAACCTAGTAAGTGCTCACAGCCAATCATCCAAGATCAGTACAGCTCAAGAGAGTGGAGTAAGGACATGTGCTCACCTCTCCTTTCTTCTAACATTGTATTAAGATGATGTCAAGGATACATATAGAAGAAAGAAAAAAAGAAGAATATTCATTACAGCACAGAAAGATACCAACAGTGGATCAGAAATGTTTAAGAATTTCGAGAAGGTAGAAGTCAAATAGAAAATGTGTTACTTTGGTTCACATATCAGTTTGGCAAAAAAAAATAAAAGCGTGCCAAGGACATGGGGAAATGGGTACTGTTGGAAGGAATGTACATTGGTATAGACATTCTAGAAAAAATTGGCAAAATCCTTGAAAACACACATAACTCCATGACCCATTTAATTCCATTTCTTTTTTTTCTTTCTTTCTTTTTTTTTTTTTTTTGGAGACAGAGTCTTGCTCTGTCTCCCAGGCTAGAGTGCAATGGCACGATCTCGGCTCACTGCAATCTCTGCCTCCTGGGTTCCAGTGATTCTCCTGCCTCAGCCTCACAAGTAGCTGAGATTACAGGTGCCTACCACCATACCTGGCTAATTTTTGTATTTTTAGTAGAGACGGGGTTTCACCATCTTGGCCAGGCTGGAACTCCTGACCTTGTGATCCACCTGCCTCAGCCTCCCAACATGCTGGGATTAGAGGCATGAGCCACCACACCCAGCCTATTTCTTATAAACTGATATTCTTATAAAATGATATTCACAGAGTGATAGAAAATGCAAGCAGCCTCTGGAGATCTGAAAAGGCAGGGTATGGATGTTCTCCTAAAGCTTCCTAAAAGAATATGGCCCTATGATACCTTGATTTCAGCCCTGTAAGAGTCAATTTGAACTTCTGACCTCCAAAACTGTAAGATAATAAATTTATACTGTTTTAAGCCACTAAGTTTGTGGTAACTTGTTATAGCAGCAATAGGGAACTAATGTAATATAGTAGAGACAGTCAGAGAGGAAATGTGGCAAAAAAGGTTAACAACTGGTAAATATAGGCAAAGGACATATGAGTGTTCATTGTAAAACACGTAACACAATTTCCCACGAAAACTACTATAAAATAGTTACTAGGACTTTGGAAAACCATTTATTCTCTCTGAGCTTTGGCTTCCTATTAGAAGAATTTGGGATTATATCAGCTCTACAATCCTTTCCAAGCATTAAAATTTGATGATGGGTTAAAAGTAGGTCTGCAAATGGGTTTAGAAACCAAATCACCATGGAAAAAATGTTTCCAGAGTTTTATGAACCTAAACTATTTAAAAGTTGGTGGGACCCATTTGAACCTTTAATCTCTCTTTATTTAAGGAAAATTGGGAGTTAGTCACAAGACAGTTTATGTTCCCTAACTGCTCATTTTCTGAAAAGCTGCTTCAAGTAACCAAACGCAAACAAGCCAAAAAAAAATTTTTTTAAAGCAAAGAAACTGCAAAAACAATACTTACCTTTGCATCATCTATGTCAAAAACATCACACCAAGGAGATTTAACACCTTTAATTGCCAGGTCAAATGAGCAGGTGAAAAAGGCTACTTGAATTAAATCTGGGGAGACAAAAAGGTAATATTTTGTGGGTCATTATTTACCATAATTTTTCAAAGTCTAAATATCTGTAGAATGCCATGTGTGGTATAGCTCAATAAAATGGACATGTTTGTTTTGGAGAAGAAATAATTTAGTTTCTTCCTGGCTATCAAAGAATTAAGAGACTTGTTCTGTATAATCTAAGGGGGCAGAATTGGAACTATCAGGAAGAAACCATGAGGAAGTATAAATTTCAGTCCAATAAAATTAAGAAGTGTTCTGTAATTGGTAACTTATTTCTGCTTTTTTTTTTTTTTGACAGGGTCTTGCTCTGTTGTCCAGGCTGGAGTGCAATGGTGATTATAGCTCACTACAACCTCGAATTCCTGGACTCAAGCAATTCTCCTGCCTCGCCAATTACTTGTTAAGTGCATATTTCCCTAGCAACATCAACAAAAAGTGTAACCCAGGGACTTGCTATATAAAACTCAATATGATTTTGTTAATTTTAGAGGGTTCAAGGAGGGGGACTAAGGTTATAAAAGTTTTAGTACCCGACTTGAAAATTAGAAATAACAAAGTACATTTATTGAACAGTTTTTTAAAATTATACAATTCATTTGATAACTAAGAAGCAGCAGTAGGTACAGAAAAGATATAAAACGAGAGAGAAGACCACAGAGACAGAGATGGAAGAAGTGCAGGGTAAGTGAGGGGGAAGGAAAAAGGTGAAACAGCCAAGGAGGAGAAGCAAAAGCGAAAAATCACACACTAAAGACAGAAATACTGGTACCAACATCAGTTTTTCAAACTTAGCTGCTCAAATTATTTCAGAAGTGGATTTCAGAATAAGTTATCTAGAATTTTTACACTGTTAATTTGCTGATTACATTACTTTGATATACATATGGGTATTGAAGAGAAGGGATAAGGGAATGAATGCTTGGGCTATAAAAAGTAGCCTTTGTTAGCAAATAAAAACGCTGCTGCTCTCTAGTCAACGGGAAGTAGGTGATATTTAATACTAGAGAGAAAAGAAGTCAACTGCAGTGGTTGCCTCCATTGCTTTGATTTTTCTTTAATTTTACTGCCTTTCCTCTTTTCTTAAAGGAAAATGGGAGCAAAAATCAACTGATGTTACATGCATTTTGCACTAGTTCTGGGTTTAAAGAATTCCCCTGAGGCAGTATATATTATCAAAAAATGTATTTCATTGAGAATATACAGAAAAGCCATCAAAAACTTGGCTTATATAAAGAAAAGGTTTAATAATCTTAATACCTGATACAATATAGTGGCTTGTAAGTACCAGGTACCTTTGATGAAAGGACCTAGCTTATTTACACTCAAAGTTCGAATTCCGAAACTATGAAAGTCAGCCTAAATGGTATATTCTTTAACTGAAAGAGAGTTTACTGGAAATAAAAATAATAATTTACCAAAAACCTCTTCAGAGTACAGGGAGAAAAAGTATCAGATGAATACTGACCTGACTTTGTCACTCATTGTCCTGGGTAAGCTCTCTAAGTGTCAATTTCCCCCCTTTCAAAGTAAAGAGGTTAGATACATTATATTATTTAAGTTATGGCTCTGACATATCTGTTACGACGCTTCTGATTTCTTGGTCAATGTTTTAGAACCTCAAAAATATTTCAGGTGGATAAGAAATTTAAACATTTAAAGAGCAAAATAGACGCTTTCCCTCCACTCCCCTAAGAAAAAAAAAAAAAGGGAAGACAATAGGAACATATAATAATCTTGAGGTAGAAGAATTCCTGTTCAAAATAAAACACTCAGAAGCCATAATGAAGAGACAGATTATGGCTATATAAAAGACATAAACCTCTGTGCAATCAAAGGCATCATCAACAAACCTAAGATACAAGCAAGAAATTAAAATATTAGCAACATACAACAAGCAAAGGATGAATTCTTTGTCAGGAAGTATTAAAAGATAAAATTAATCTATCCGTAACACATAAAAAGTATTTGTGATTCATAAGAAAATAAAAATAAATAGAAAATGAACAAAGTTATGAAGGGGCAATTCTCAGAAGAAATGCAAATGGCTACTAAACATGAAAAGATGTTCACTTTCAGAAGTAATCAAAGAAATGTAAATTAAAGCTAGGTATTATTTTTCATTAGTCAAACTGGAGAAAATTAAAATCACTATATCTACTGTCTGATGATATGGGAAAACAAGCACTTTCATATACTGTGGATATAAATTTTTACTACACCTTCAGGGAACAATTTCCAAGTATATGTCAAAATGTAAAATATTCATGCATGTTAACCCAGCAATTTCACCTATTTATATTAAAAAAATTTTTTTTTCATCTATATGTTTATTTATTTGGAGACTAGGTTATGAGACTGGCCAATTTTTGTATCTTTGGTAGAGACAGGGTTTCACCATGTTGCCAAGGCTGGTCTCGAACACCTGGACTCCAGTGATCCACCTGCCTTGACCTCCCAAAGGGCTGGGATTACAGGTTGTGACACCGCACCCAGCCTTACCTATTTTATCTTACAAATAAACTCTCAAGTTTGAAAAACAGACTATAAGAATGTTTATTGTATCATTACCTGAAAGAGTTAAAAACTAAGAAAAACCTCAGTGGGAAAATGGTTTCCTATAAAAAGAATTTGGACTGCATTAGCAATAGCTACTTACAGCAGTAAAATTTGATGATGGGTTAAATAATTTAACTAGCATTGACTTGCAAATTGAGTCATTCATATGTCCCATGAAATAACACAGGATTTAAAAGAATGAGACACTTCTATATTTGTCTATAGATAAAAATATAGTTAAGTAAAAATAGTTAAGTTACTGAAAATACATATAAACATCATCCCTCTATGCAAACAAAAGGGAATTTAAATAGCAAAAGTATTTATTGAGCAATTACTATACTAAGTACTAAATGCTTTGTATGAATTAATCTTATATAATCTTTGCAATAATCCTACAAGACAAGAATAATTTCCACATTCATCTTACAGAGAAGGAAACTGTGGCATAAAGATATTAACAAACTTGTCAAAAATCAGAGTTATTTAATAGGATAGTAGAGTCAAGATTCAAATGCAAATAGTCCATTTCCAGAATCCATTATTTGAATTACTATACTTAATATTGCCTCCAAAAAGAAGTTGCTGTCAGTTACTCCATCAGTAAAATATGTAATTTTTGCCCATTCAGACACTAAAAATCAATTTTAAAAAAATCTTTTCCAACAAACCTAAATGTCTACTAACAGAATAATGGCTGAATATTGGTATAGTTATAGAATGAAATACATACATTTAAAATATAGAACTAGAATTACAAACATTAAATCAAAAACAAAAAGTTGCATAAAAATCAAATTTTGGACTGGTATAAACTTTGATACCACTCTTAAGAGTTTTAAAATCTGCAAGACAATATCCCATTTATGTATAAAAACTGTCATGAGATAATACAAATGCTTAATTCATGACAATTATTAGCACTGGCAAGAAAGGAAGAAGAATGAGATCCAGGAAAGGGACGAATGGACCTCAATTTATTTAAGGCAACTAACTGAAGTATGATGTTAAAATTTAATAAAACCAAGTTGTGGATATAGGGATATTCATTACATTAGCCTTGTTTGTTATCTTCATGTTTGAATTATTTCCCAATAAAATAAATAATTTTCAAAGCTCCATATGTGATGCCAACGTATAGCCAGTTTGGAGAAAGAAAAAAAATTCAATTTCAAATGCTAGTACAGACATCTTTTTGGTCCCCATAAAGCATCAAGGCCCTGTGACTAACAAGTTCTAATCTATTTTTTTCCCTAACACCTACTTCCAATCTTTTGGAAATTAATTGAGAGTATAATGAAATTTACAATCTTTGCATGTATCTTTGTCAACATCTGCCCTATGGAATATACATTCCTAGAAAACAGAAAAAAATCTTATTTTCTTAATCTCCCATTGCTAGGTGGCCATGTGTCCTGGTTTCCCACCTGCTTTCCTGGCAAAATTATTAAAAGTGTTCCCTTTCACTTTTGAAAGTGTCCCACCAGTTTGGATGTTAAGTTGCATGGTCAGCCCATGCACTGCAATAACTTATGACAGACATGACTGCTCATCTTCTCAGCATCTCTACATATAAAAGACAAAAAAAATCAAAGTATTTTGCTTTTCACTTTCTAAAACTTACCCCTCTTACACATTAACAGGTACTTCTGAACTGCTTCAAATGCTGAAGAATTTATATGATTTTTTTATTTGTATCACTTTATGAGGAGGAAATTCAGAAAAGATTGTTTTAAAAATAATACTTACAGTTGAGGTTTTCTATACCATGCCCTCAAAAAAACCTCCAGAATATAGCTAGAATCTTGTGTATCAATTTAAAAAGAAGAATATGAATCTAAAAACAGTAAATAGAAAGCACAAGGTATTCAATTTTTTTGACCTAGAACATAGTATTTTCTTAATGTAAATCAATTGTGGGTCTTTAAAAAAAATTGTTTCCTTATTTTTTTCATTTTCACAGTTCAAAATTATTTAAACCAGAAGTTCAAGCAAAAGATAACAGGCGGGGCCAGGCGCGGTGGCTCAAGCCTGTAATCCCAGCAGTTTGGGAGGCCGAGGCGGGTGGATCACGAGGTCAAGAGATCGAGACCATCCTGGTCAACATGGTGAAACTCCGTCTCTACTAAAAATACAAAAAATTAGCTGGGCATGGTGGCGCGTGCCTGTAATCCCAGCGACTCAGGAGGCTGGGGCAGGAGAATTGCCTGAACCCGGGAGGCGGAAGTTGCGGTGAGCCGATATCGCGCCATTGCACTAGAGCCTGGGTAACAAGAGCGAAACTCTGTCTCAAAAAACAAAAAACAAAAAAACAAAAAAAACAGGCACATTACCTGCATTTAAATCATTCACTGGCACTTGCAAAGTAGCTGCAACTTTTTTTAAAATGTTCTGCATTTCTGGTCCAGTTTTGAAGGCTTCCACGTGATAAAGAGCTGTAGCATTCCTTTCCACTTCAGTTAAAAACTTCTCACAGTGATCAAAGAACCTCATTAGTTTATCATTAACCCTTGGAGGTCCACACTCCATATCTGAAAGAGAAAAAAAAATTTACATATATATGTTTGTAAATCACTGACACAAATGACAGTTTCAAATTATTGATAATGTTAAGTGTGAAAAAGGAACACCAACATCTTACTAATCCGCATATCAGAAATAAGCATATATTGATCGGGAAAGTCACAGGGTCAAATTATTCCCCATTTGTAATGACTGTAATGCATGAGAACAGCTGGAAAAGACTAAAGAAATAGAGATTGATTGGGTATGTCTTTGTAGCAAAGATTCAAACAAAACGTAAAAAAGAAAATTTTTTTTCTTTAAAAAAAGAAATAGAGATTAAAGATTAAATGTGCTGCAAACGAAACTGCATTATACATTAGTAAGTACTGTTTCTGTCAGGCATGGAAAGCTTTAGAAAGCAAACTAAAAATCAGCAAAGTTTCTACTTACAAGGTGAGAGAGAATTCAGCATACGGAATCTATTTTTCACCCTAAGCCAAAGTCTAAACAGAGTATCTTATTTTCTCAATTAACTTTCCCAACTCTGTGACACAAAAGATTCTGCTTTGGACAGAAACTACTGACAACAGCACAAAACGCACTGATGTTTTGGGTCTCCTGTGCCTCACTGTGCTAGGTGCCTGTGACTTGGTTTATCTTCTAACTGAAGCCCCCAGATAACTTTCCATTTAGAATTTAATAAATTACATTATTCCCCCAATCTGAGAAGCAGTCATAATCATGCTTCAACTACTGGCGTGCCCTTTAAGTTTTTTTCAGTCATATTCAAAACACATATTTTTCAATCATTTCTCCAATAATTTACCATGAAAAGAACACCAAGTATATCATTTTTGTACATAAAATATGCGAAAATTGAATTTAGTTATATCTGGGCTTTGGGTGTGTATGTAAAAAAATATACCAATATGTATGTTTAAGTGTGTCTCTTGAAATAAATAATTCTGCCCACTGTAATTGTCAACTGGATCACAATTCTTAAGAAAATATCTTGACTAGGAAAATATGCGAACTTTGTCACCTTTTTCTGTGGCCTCTAAAATATGATTTCCCAAGTGGATCTGAATATTTTATCCTTGTTACTATCTAATTATCACTGGTGTTTAAACAAAAACAAAGGCATTGTTCTGTTTCTATAAAGCTACAAAATCTAATTCAGCAGAATCCCTCAAAAGCCCAGATAACATAACAGGCAAAACTATTGTCTATAGAAAATAACAAACTGGCTAGGCAAAGGGTTTACTCTCACACTGAAAACAGTCAGGGGTGGGCTTATTCTAAACTGTAATATTTTGATCCCTGGCTCTCCGAGACAAATGCCAGTCTTCACAATGCCATCTGAGAATAAAAATTCACTTGTTTCAGCAGGTCACTATATGTATATTGTGCTATATTAAAATATGTTCTGCTTTCAACATTCTGTTAATTTAACAGATTTATGAGGACTTTTCACCATGTTAATGAAAAAGGTATATAGTTTAACAAAACCAACAAATAACTAGACAGAAGTCAGCTAACTGAATTACCCACAATTAAATGACACAGAATCAGTGGAGAAATCCCTTACAGATGGTTTCACTGTTCAACAGCTACAGAAGAAATTACAAGCCAGCCTACTTCTAAGTTTTCACTTTGGCTTTGAAGCTAAACGATAATCCTCATTTCAGTTATGGCGTTAAAAGTGATCAAGAAACTATTAACACTTGTTCATCTTTGTGGTACAAAAATATTACATGTTTTTATTCTTATCAGGTATGTTATTGGACAAATGGGCGCTGTATAGCATAATGGTTAAGAGAAAAAGCTCTGAATCAGACTTTCTGGGTTCCATGAAAATGGGCAAATTATTTAGTGTGTTTGTGTACCCATTTCCTCATCTTTGAGATAGGGGGAAAATACTATCAAATCCTGATTGTGGTTGTAAGGATTTTGTAAAATAAATGTGAGGCATATCTGGCATACAATAGGCATTAGGTGCTCGCTATCATTATTATTTGTAACGATTACAACATTTTCTAAGAGAAAAAGAATCATTCTAGGAAAGCAGAAGACCTGGATTCTAGACTTTAAACTAGAGAAGGATAATTAAGAAGGTATACTCTTGGGCTTGGCTTCTTCATCTGCGAAATAAAAGGGCCTTACTAGATGATCTCTCAAACTTCGAAAAAGTACAATTAATGGAATAAATAAGTTACTCCGTGTGACTATGGACCACAGCTACAATGACAGGAACGCTACGGTAAAAACATGATCAAAACATAAGAAAAAAGGAGGACACAAAAGCTTGAGATCAGGTTCTTAAAAGAGAGTGTAGGTCGAAAACTGTCATCTAAAAAAGATGAGTTAAAAAAAAAAAAAGAAAGGAAGAAAAACTAGTATCAGAAGCAAAACCTGAGGAAGAAAATTCTAGATTCGATTTTTAAAACGTGCGCCCAACAGTGAAACTAGACTCCAGGGAAGGGGGAAGGGATGGATTGGCGCTCGAAGGGGCAGTTCAGTTTGGGAATGGGAGCACAAAAACTGCAGGAGACCTCGTCTGTCCCCTTTCCTGCTGGATCCCCAACTCCACTAAAGCAGGCAGCGTGTAGAAGGTGCTGAATTTACACCTGATGAATAAATGAACATACGTGTAAGGGGAAAAAGAGATAGCCAAGTCCGTAATATCCCGCGACATGTAGGACACAGCCTGAGGGACCGAGGCTTGGGAGCAGAGGAGACCGCTGGGGGGATCGGAAAAGCCCAGGGTCTGTGGGAGGCGGGGGAGGATCCAGGGCGGGTGTTAGGACCGGGACAGTACACAGGCCGCCCGGGGGGGGGGGTCACCTGCGACGTCGGGTGGCGGCAAGCCAGGGTGGTAGTGCTGCCACAGCCCCTGCAGGAAGGCGGCGCCGCTATCCACGCAGCGGTGCTTGGAGCTAGTGATGAGCCGCAGGCGGCCGTAGTTCTCAAGGCTGAAAAGGGTCGGGAAGAGAGAGGCCAGACGCAGCGCCAACTGTCGCATATCCTGCCGTCCCTTCTCCACCAGCTGCCCGTCCATCCAGTCCGCGTACCACAAAGGCCAATCAGCCAGTGCGGCACCCAGGTCGCGGCTGCCGGTACTACTGGCCCCGCCATCCCTGGACCCGCGGGCCTGCAGCAGCCCGTGCAGCTGCCTCAGCTTGCGGATCTGTTTGGCTGTGGGGTAGCGGGTGCCGTGGCGAATGAGGGCCACCAGCTGCACCGGGGTGCAGGTCCCTTCCAGCAGCTCAGGGTCCCGCCACGGAGCCTCGGTGCCCGCCAGCAGCCCGGGACTGACATCCTCATAGCGAGTCTTGGTGCCGAAATAGGGGCTGAGCGATGAGGCCCCCGGGTCCCTCGGCTCTAGAAGAGAGCAGCGTGCAAACGACGAGAGCAGCGCCGCAGCCAGGGCCGCGGCAGGCGCTACGGAGGTCCGGAGGAGGCAGCGGGGCGCGCGGAGCATGATGCGGGGCGGTGCGTGGAGCGCGCCGCGCCGGCTGCGGATGCGCAGCTTCCGGCTCCGGTGACCAGGGGGCGGGTCCCGGGGGGCGCTTCCGGCCCGTGGCCTTCGGGTTGCGCCTGCGCTGCCTTCGAAGAGGTCCTGGCGGCTGGCGTAGTGTCCTGCGTCCGGGAGGAAAGCTCGGAGTATCCCTGTAGACCTGTGGCAAGGGAGGACCCAGCGGAAAACCCTGAGGAGCTTGTGGCAGCCGTCAAGATGGAGCCGGCGTCACTGCCCCGCAGAGTGGGCGAGTTTCCTCTTAGCCCGACCCTCAGGGATTGACTCAGACTCCTTCGCTTTTTTAGTTGTTTTGGGTGTGAATGAAACCCAGACTGAACGTTAGCCTCCCAGGGTGCCAAACCAGGACAGCCTTTACAGATGACTCTCATATCACTATCTCTACCCTGTGATACTGTGTTTTTCAAAGTATAGTGCCTGAACTATCTGCATGAGATCCGCCTGAGACGGTTGTTGAAAATTCACATGGCTGGGCCTTGCTGCAGGATGCTTCTTGAAGCCCAAGGTTTTTTGTTTCTTGGATTTTTTTTTTCCATTTGAGTTTGAAAAGAAATAGGAAAGCAGAGAACTTGGAAAGGGACTTACATTGAATCTTTGGTATAATCTTGACCTGGACTACCAGAGCTCACGCGGACATCAGTGAGACAGCACCCTAAAAGTTTTGTGTTTGTTGATCCCGAAGGCTTAGAGAGTAGAGATATAGCAATCTGGATAACTTGGGTGCATTGAGTCATGGCCCAACAGATTTACTCCATTATTAAGTATGAGTTAATCTGCTTTACGAAACAAACATGCTCTGCATTTACCACCACTCCAGATCCATACGTTTCTCTTATGTTCCTCTCATGTACATACATACTCAAATCAGCAGCTGGGCTTTTTAATAGGTTATTGTTCAGAATCTTTACCTGACCCCAAAACAGCTAAATTCTATAGGGAAACAGCAAGGCTGTCTATGTAAGCATATACAATACTGTCTAAGAACATGGTCTCTGAAGTTAGACTTTGCGGTTTTCAGATTCCAGCTTCATCTCTTATTGTCTGTGAGATAGTAAACAAATTCTTTTGCTTCAATTCTTTTTCATTATAAAGTGGGGATAATAACACCTAGCCATGAAACTGTTGAGGGGATTAAATGAAACAGCTTACATAAAGACTTTATACAGTTCTTGTTCCCAAATATCAGTTGCTTTTATTAAACAGAATTAAAGTGTTTCTTTTTTTCTTTTTTCTTTTTTTTTTTTCTTTTTAGAGATGGGATCTTACTTTGTTGCCCAGGCTGGAGTGCAGTGGCTATTCACAGGCGCGATCCCACTACTGATGAGCACGGGAATTTTGACCTGCTCCGTTTCTGACCTGGGCCGGTTTACCCCTTCTTAGTCAACTTGGTGATCCCTCGCTCCCGGGAGGTCACCATATTGATGCTGAACTTAGTGCGGACACCCGATCGGCATAGCACACTACTGCCCAGAACTCCTGGACTCCAGAGATCCTCCAGCCTCAGCCTGGGACTAGAGGCACTGCGCCATCACGCCCGGCAAGTGTTTCTTATTATCACGTATCTCTTAATGAAATAAACTGACAAATAGTTTTTCATAAATATTTATTATCTTATAACTACATTAAGCAATGAACTTTGTGCCTATGCCAAGAAAGTTTGAGCTTTCTTATCTTTCTGCCCTGCTCTTGCATCATTCCTCTTTTAACAGTTGCCAGATGTTGATTTAGTGTTTATTTGCTTTTTGTTGCAGTGGAAGCGAACAGAAGAGGGGTCCATTTGTACAGTTAGGACTGGAGTGATCCATGTTCCAATAGCAGTCCCTTTAACCTCACTTAAATGTGGAGGCTACGTAGATCACAAGTCTGAATACTACAAGCTACCTTTGCTTAAAAGGAACCACACCAGCACTGAAAGCTAACTGCTAGATTGTTCTCTAGCGTATCAGAGCTAACTTGAATTGCTTGAGTTGTGCTTCAGTTAATGTAGAGAACATCACTGAATAACACATAACCATTGAAGTAACCTGCTGTTTACAGTCTCTATCTTGCTCTGCCAAGGGAGTTATTTTACAGTGATAAAACTTCTCTTCTGGTGCCTTGACACATCCTAGGACTTTGATGTTGGTAATTATTTCCCCCCAGCAAATGTTGGTTTTAATTATACATAACTACTTGAGAAACCAGATGCAAAATTATGGTGGATTTAAATTACCAATATTCTTTATAGGTTTTGCTATTCCCATTTATAAGAGGGAAACTGTAGCTATACACTTTCTAGTCCTGCTCTATGGTGATTTTCCTGCACAAACTAACATTGTTGTTCAGAAACATAATTTCCCCCAGAATTACCCTCCATCTAACACATATTGTTATTCTATCACAAAGATAAATAATAGGTTTCCAAATCCTGGTTAAAAAAAACAACAACAAAAACTGTCTTCCTCTCTGTATTTTTCCAGAACAGGCATAGATGATAGCAATTGTGTTTTACCATTTTATTTTTTTCTGAAATGTTAGTTTTCTAGGATGTGGAAATATTAGGGTTAACAAAAAAAGAAAACAACTTTTTAAATGAAATGGTAGTTTTCCAAAATTGGAAAATCTTTTGGAGCTATTCTATCTTTAGGACTATTGGGGGTTAGCTGGCTTTAAAGCCATTAACATTTTCTTATTATTTCAAACAATAGAGAACTTTCTCCCTCTTAGTATTTTTTTTAATTTTTATTTTTATGGAGACAGGGTCTGGCTCTGTCATGCCGGAGGCTGTCTGTAGTACAACAGCACAGTCTCAGCTCATTGCAATCTCAGCCTCTTGGGCTCAAGTGATCCTTCCACCTCAGCCTCCCAAGTAGCTGGGACTACAGGTGCAGGCCACCACATCCAGCTAATTTTAAACAACAGAGAACTTTCAAAACTAAAGTTCTTTATTCTTCAAGAAATCCTTTTTTTTTCTTAGCCCATTAATGTCCATTTCATGTTGCCTCAATGGGCCGTGTATGAACCTTTTTTCTTTCAGATTTTGTTCACTTTTGTTGTATACAGACCCATCTTTCTTTGATTGAGTTGCTTTGTCTATATGATATATCAGTCAGTGTTAAAACCCAAACAATACCTAAGCCAAAAGAGCAATATAGGCACCTGTGAACACACACACTTGGTTGCAGTTGCTTCAGTAAAAAGGACAGTTTACACTCAAATTGAAGCAACCGTTATGGTTCCACAAACAACATCCCTTATGATCCCATCTCACGTTTTCATTCTTCCTTTGCTGTGTAATCTGATTCAGTACTCCAAAAGATAAGGTAGATAAGAAGCCATCTTGAAAATATTGAAAAAAGAGATAAGGGGCCATCATGAAAATATTTATCCCACATCTTACATTAAGCAAACTGACAGTAACTATTTGTTGAAAAGTGTGAATGAGTAAATGAAAATAGGACAAATAGGCAGCATGGGAAGCTAAAATATGAAAGTATATTGCTTTGCTTTATGTAGTATAATTATCTCATTTTATCTTCCCAGCTCTCCCAGGAAGTGTGCAGAATAATATTTATCTCATATTGTAGATTGGTAATCAAGACAAAGAAGCTAGATGCTTTACCTAAAGTAATTCAACAAATATTTGCTAGAACCAGTTCTAGAATGCAATCAATGGAAACAAAGTTATTTCGGTGGTGCTTTTCCTGATACTTGCCCTATTTCTGACAAATGAATAATGGCTTCAGAAAGTGTCACTTGTTGCTAGGGCTAAAAGGATAAATTGTACATGAATACTGTAGCACTTACTATTAGTTAACGACCCAATATTTATTCTATGTTTTTCTTCGGAATCTTTGAAATGTATAGGTCTTTGCCTCCTGGGAAGCTCACTTTATGTTTGCCTCCCGAGAAGCTCACTGTATCCTCTCCTCAGGAGAAAATCCTGATTTGGTGTAAACCAATCTTGATAACTACTTTTCTTACCAGCCTTGTTTTAGGAATGCGCATGCAACTCAGTTCTAGCCAATGAGATATGAGGAGCAGTCTACTGGGGAGTTTCAGGGAAAGTTTGTTTTTCTTGTCCTAAGAAATAAACAAATAATGGGGTAATAAAGCTTCAACTCTTTATGGGGTCACTAGATTTGAGATGCTATTGAGTCAAAGGAATATTGAATTTGACACAGTAAAATAGTCTGGAAGGAAAGGAAATGATATTCAGCGAATGAAATGCTGAAAATTGATATTTTGAAGGTGGTATCGTAGTTTTTATTGATTAGGTGAAACAGTTGAGATTAAGAAAGTTTAGCCAGGAAAAGTTATATAGCACAAATCATTTGGAGGTAAGGAGGTTAAAAAAAACCTTGAGAGGCCAGGAAGTCCTGGCTCCAAACTTCTGCTCCTGCTGGACTTGAGCCCCACTAGCTTCTCATCTTTCACTAATCTATGTACCCCTCCTCTCCCACTTCTAAAAACCTGAGCTCACTCAACAACTTTAATTTTATTAAAATAAATTATTTTACAACAGACATTTTGTTTTTAATAAATGTTATTAGTGATTTGAAAAAATGAAAGAGATTGACATCTTTCAATTGACAGATGCCAATAATTTTAAATATAATTTTTTAAAACATTTTGTTCTTAAAATGAGAAAGAAATCCAAGGAAGGGATCACTACCCTGGGCAACAGCATGTCCCGTATGATAACTAGACCTGCTGCAATTATCTTGCTACCAGGGAGGAGCTAGCTTGAAAATAAAACCAACACAGTGAGATGACAGAGCAGAAAGGGGAAAGAACCTAAGTCCCTAATGATATTCAGCTGATGGATTAAACCTAGAGTGTGTCTACCATGGGCTTCTGTAAGGAATTAAAATGTCTGTACTGTTTAAAACAGTGTTTCATTGTTTTCTGCAGAAATCCTAATTGGCATAAAGAAACTATTCACCAATTAACCCCACTGCAACCTCACCTGACCCCTTAGGATGTCCTTTCATGCTTTTCTTGGTTTTGTTGAAGTTACCTGTTGAGAATAATAGAAAATCACAGAGGGTGATTTCTGATCCCATCTCTTTAGCTATGACCTTGTGTCTCTGGCTTATGATCATGATTTATGAAGCATGGGAAGCACTAGGAAATGTAGGAAGTAGGCAGGTAAGATCAGATGTGTGATGATGGAGGTTATCACAGTCAGGACAGGTGTGTAGGCAA